CTGCAGACAGCGATGTGCCACATTAAATCCATGATGTGTTCCACATCCCACTCCATTCCAAAAGCCGTAGACGGTAAAGGTCAACTTTATGTTCTGTGCAATATGCTTAGGTTCTCTAAATTAATTCTTTGGAGTACGAGGTATTTTTATGCTTTGTAGCTTATAAAATCCTGTTTAGGACCAAAATGCATGTGAAAATAAAAAAAAAGTGCTACTCTACTGCCGTAACTCACGTACAATAAGGCACGAGGGAAGGCTCTATCACCGTGAACCATTTTAAAATTCTCTTCCTGAATTTTGCAAACGTGGGAAATCATCACATGGTTCCATTAAAATCAGTTGCCTAAAATGCATATGAAAACTCATTCCAATTCAGATGAAGGCCTTGCACTATTACTTCTGCTTCAGTAAATACGAGCATATGTGAATGTTTTGACAAGCATAAGAATATTTCTAGTAAACTGAATTTGTTATTGCCCAACCCTTTTAGACCTACCCAGATAGATTAGATTAATAGTGACTAGTAGATAGTCCTTATTTAATTTCACTTATTTTAAATATTAGCGTAATCAAAAATTTATAAATAACTTTAACAGTTTGACCATTTTAAGACACAGACCTGGAATCTAACAATCTAACTTAGGGCATTTTACAAATAGATTAAAGAAATATGAGTAAGTTATATGATATGTACATTATTTTATTTCTGAGTTGCATATTTCTAAGAAAAATTATATATACACATTATTTTTCATTATGGATTTTCATTCTTTAAGGAAAAAGGAGCATTATTTTCTCTCAATTTCTGACCTTTGTAATGTTTCTGTATAGTGTTCTTCAGGTTAACAGTATTAAAAATAAAACAAAAGTATTAAATAATATTTGGTATATTTTTATTTAATTTGAATATGAGTAGAGAAAGACTATTTAATTAACATTTGATTTTGTCTCCACTGATACCCTTTAATACAACTACTGTGTAACAAATAAATCGAAAATTATAACCTCTATGCTTAAAGATGAAAGGAGAGAAAGAACATTTTTCATATAGAAAACCTTACAACATGGTGGAAATGGTGGAGAACAGGAGCCAAATATATTTAATTGAGCTGTTTTTTGGCTTAAATCAAACTGCTGAATTTAACTAAATATTATGGGTATTACATGTTCACAAACAGTCCATCTTCTCATAGAAGATTAAGTCATATCAGTTTTTTCCTTCTTCAACATATTGAACTGAATAACTCTAGTCTCACTAAAACTATTCTTAGTCTACTAATAATGAATAAGTTGGGGCCTTCAATCTCCACAATCAAGAAACTAACTTTTATAAGAATAATGAAAAATAAGTCTGCTTTTAGCAACTTACTAGGCACAAGTCTCACACCAATCATTTATCAGCAAATCAAAATATAAACTATTTTTAATAGTTGTAGGATTTTACATATAAGCAGTAGAAGAAACCACCTAGGTATTATACAGATTATATTAGCCACACAGGGAGATAATTTATTTCATATAGTTATTTGAAGAGGTCAGAAGGCAGGAAGAAGTAAAAAAGGAAGGAGGAGAGGAGGAAGGGAAGGAGGAATTTAAACTTGCATTTTATATTTTTCCACATGGTTTGTTTAGAGGTAAGTAGATTAATGATTTATTAAGATTTAAAGCATCCTATATTTTCTCTCTTAACATTTTAGGGTCTATAAGAATAATTGTCATTAACTTTTTAAGTATGTATAGTTTATAAAAGTATACAGAGGCACACTATTCTTCCAAATAAACAAAATACACTTTTTTATCAGAATGTATGAAGTGAATTTGTTGTATAATTCCAAAAAGAAGTATTGTACTATTTTAGGAAAGAAGTATTTGCACATGGATCTTTCTTACTCTTAAGTAGCTTAATGTCCTAAGGAAAGCCATTTATATTTTAAAGAAATGAACACTCTCTTGAATTAAACAGAATGGTGAGAGCATAAAAGCAAAAATGCTTATGTCAAATAGAAAATGAGATGCAGATCACATTATGCATATTCAAAATATGAAATTAAATAGTTTAAAAATAATATTTAGTCTCTATTCTGGATGGTTGCATATTAGGTAAAAACAAATGCCTGGCATAGTTTTACTGTGGGTTTGTATGAAACAACATCATCACCAACATTTAGGTTTGTCAACCAGTGGAGAAGACTGAATTACTCATTGTACATATTCCTTATACCTTGAAATTATTATTTAGTGGTTTAGACCTTTTTTTTCCAAGATGACTTAGTAGTTGCAAAAGAGAAAGAAACTTTCTGAAGTTCCAAGTTACTCCCTCCATGACTTAACTTTGGTAATCTCATATATACAACATCCTTTAAAAAGAATTTTTCTTAGTTTGGTAAAGAATAATCTTTACCAAAACTGGACAGCTACATGTAAGAAAATGAAACTGGATTATTGTCTAACTCTATGCACAAAAGTAAACTCAAAATGGATCAAAGAGCTGAATGTAAGTCATTAAACTACAAAACTCTTAGAAGAAAACATAGGCAAAAATCTCTCAAATATAAACATGAACAACTTTTTCCTGAACACATCTCCTTGGGCAAGGGAAACAAAAACAAAAATGAAGAAATGGGACTACATCAAACTTAAAAGCTTCTGTACAGCAAAGGACACTATCAGTACAACAAAAAGGCATCCTACAGTATGGGAGAATGTATTCGTAAGTGACATTCCTGATAAGGGGTCAACATCCAAAATATATAAAGAGCTCACAAGCCTCAACACCCAAAAAGCAAATAACCTGATTAAAAAATGGGTGGAGGATCTGAACAGACACTTCTCCAAAGAAGAAATTCAGAGGGTGAACAGGCACCGGAAAACCTGCTCCACATTGCTAATCATAAGGGAAATGCAAATTAAAATCACAATGAGATATCACCTTACACCAGTTAGGATGGTCAGTTTCCAAAAGACAAGAAACAACAAATGCTGGTGAGGATGCAGAGAAAGGGGAACCCTCCTACACTGTTGGCAGGAACGTAAATTAGTTCAACCATTGTGGAAAGCAATATGGAGGTTCCTCAAAACACTAAAAATAGAAATACCATTTGACCCGGGAATTCCACTCCTAGGAATTTACCCAAAGAAAACAAGATTCCTGATTAAAAAAGACATACATATGTACCTGTGTTTATTGCAGCACTATTTACAATAGCCAAGATATGGAAGCAACCTAAGTGTCCATCCTTAGATGAATGGATAAAGAAAATGTGGTACATACGCACAATGGAATATTATTCAGCCATAAGAAGAAAACAAATCCTACTATTTGCAACAACATGGATGGAGATAGAGGGCAGAGAAAGACAAGTATCAAATGATTTCACTCATCTGTGGAGTATAAGAATAAAGCAAAAATCTTGCTGCACTGATGGACAGGGACTGCACTGGGGTATGGGTGGGGACTTGATAATATGGGTAAATGTAGTAACCACATTTTTTTTTCATGTGAAACCTTCATAAGAGTTTATATCAATCATACCTTAATAAAAAGTAAAAATAAATAAAAATAAAGGAAGAAAGCAAAACTGAAGGAACAAAACAGCCGCAGACTCACAGACTCCAAGGAGGGACTAGCTGTTACCAAAGGGAAGGGACTGGGGAGGGTGAGTGGGGAGGGAGGGAGAAGGGGAATAAGGGGCATTATGATTAGCACACATAATGTAAGGGGGTCATGGGGAAGCCAGTATAGCACAGAGAAGACAAGTAGTGTCTCTATAACATCTTACTACACTGATGGACAGTGACTGCAATGGGGTGTGTGGGGAGGACTTGATAATATGGCTGAATGTTGTAAAAATCTTCATAAGATTGTATATCAGTGAAACCTAAAGAAAAAAAAACAGAGGGGAAAAATGTTGAAAGGAAGCAAAAAATAGAAAGAAAGAAAGAATGATCTCTACCTTGTTTCTTCCTCTTGTGTGGTGGGGATACCTCTGTGTTTTCCTCTTCATCTTTGCCGTCCACGAACTGGAATTCCTATCACTTACCATCACCTTAACAGTTCCTTTTGTTTTGCAATCTTAGACATTGTTTTCATCCAAGATCATTTCCTCTTATTTTTATTTCTAGATTATGACCTTTATTGTATTTGAATAGAAATCTTTAAATCCTTAGTCCTTTAGTCATTTTGGAAGGGGGTTGTGTATAAATGAAAAAATCCTCATTGATCGACTATCAATAGAAACAGGTCTGGTAGGATGGAGCTCAATGGCTTTAACCCCTTTCCAGAGAGTCACTTACTACTTCATTTTAATCTGTGTAATTTTATTATAAATAAGTTACACTTTCTATCTGTAAGATAATAGGTTAAATGCATAGTAACAAGTTTCCTTTTCCTCCTATAATGCAAGACATCTTGGTATTTTTCCAATTCAGAAATTTTTATCTAAGTACTAACAAATATTATTCTGGAATTAAACAAGAAATATTTGCTTTCTTCTTTTCTATGTGATATATATATGTGTGTATATATACATACACATACATATATATATATATATATACATGTACATATGCATATCATTTATATCTCTATCTCTATCTCTATCTACCTACCTACCTATTTATCTGTTTGTCTGTCTACATACACACAGATATTGAGAGAAAGCAATCAAGCACCGATCTCCATCTCCATGCCTGAAAGTCAGTTTAACTCCATTCTGTGACAACAGATTCAAACCTTGACTCTGGTTGCCTTTGCCAAAGCCAATGATCTGTGTCATTGATCATCGGGTAGCTGAGCCATAAAACACAAGAATGTAATACTAAAATAAAACAAATCTCTTCCTGACACAGGTTAACAGCACGATCTTTACATAAAATAGCTGTAAATAATTTTGTGACCCGGAAGGTTTTAATTGCCATGGGAATATTTATATTTGTTGTAATCATTGTATATTTGTCGCCTTTCAAAAGGAACGCCATTTATTAATGTTGCATTAACTCACCTTGTCACAGATCCACTTCTTAGGATTTTCATCTCTGAAATGTTGACATCCATAAGAATCAGGACCATACTTGCTTGATGAATGCATTGATGGGATGTACTTTTTGTTTTTATGGTAGGAAGAAAATGGCAAAAACCTGAAAGAATATTAGGTAGTACTCTTAATTGATTTCTACAAACATTTGATTTTTTTAAAAATCAGAATTTAGAGAAATATTAAAGTATAGTGAAAAATAGTACATGGTTGGAATCAGAATATCTGGACTCCACTTTAACAATAGTCTCCCACCGACTATCTCTGTTACTAATGTCTATGAATCTTCATTTCTTATTCTGTAAATGGGAGATATTAGAACTTTCTCCACAGAATTCAGTCTCAAATTTTTTGTAAATTTATAAAATGTCAAATGCTAGATTTATTAATTCATGATGCCAAATAATTCAAAATTCATCATGTAAGTAATAGTGTTATTAATTTTAAAGTGAAACCCCAAAATGAAAAGAATGGTCAATGACATGGGTTTACTCCAAGCCTCTTTTTTAAAATTTATTGAGGTATAACTGGCATACAACATTAGTTTTAGGCACAAAACATAATGATTCTATATTTGTATATATTGTGAAATGAGCACCACTGTAAGTGTAGTTAGTATCTGTCACCATACATAGTTACACAATTTTTTTTCTTCTGATAAAAGCCTTACTCTCTTAGCAACTTTCAAATAGGCAGAATAATATTAATTACAGTTGCTATGCTATTCATTACATTCTCATGACTTATTTATTTTATAACTGGAGTTTTGTGTTTTTTCACTCCTTTCACCCATTTTATCTATCCATTACCCCTGCCTCTGGCAATCACCAATCTGTTCTCTATATCTTGAGCTTGCTTTGTTTTGTTGTTTTTTTGATTTCATGTCTAAGTGAGATCATATGGCATTTGTCTTTCTCTGATTTACTTCACTTAGCATAATGTCCCAGAGGTCCATCCATGTTGTGGAAAATGGCAAGATTTCTTTTTTGTGGCTGAATTATATGCCAGTGTATGTGTGTGTGTGCGCATGCTATCTTTTGTTTATCCACTGATGGACACTCAGGCTGTTTCCACATCTTGGGTATTATAACTAATGCTGCAATAAATATGGGGGTGCATATATTTATTTGAATTAGCAATCACATTTTCTTCAGATAAATATCCATAAGTAGAATTGCTGGATCATATGGTAGTTCTATTTTTAATTTTTGAGGGAGCTTCCATGCTATTTTCCATAGTGGCTTTGCCAATTTACAGCAATTTACACCAATAATACACAAGGGTTCCCTTTTCTTCACATCCTCACCATCATTCACTACTTCTTGTCTTTTTTATAATAGTCATTCTAACAGATTTAAGGTGATATCTCATTGTTTTTTATTTCCCTGATGATTAGTGAGGTTGAACATCTTTTCATGTACCTATTGTCCACCTGTATGTCTTCTTGGTGAAAATGTCTATTCAGGTACTCTGAATGTTCTTAAATTGGATTGTTTATTTTATCTTATTGTTTTTGCTCTGCAGTTGTGTGAGTTCCTTATATACTTTGGATATGTGCCTATCATCAGATCTATGATGTGCAAATATTTTCTCCCATGAAAAGGTAGATTGCCTTTTCATTTTGTTCTTGGCTTCTCTTGCTGTGCAGAAGCTTCTTAGTTTGATGCAGCCACACTTGCTGAAGTTTGCTTTTGTTTCTTGCTTTCGGTGTTAACCCAACAAATCACTGTCAAGACTGATGTCAAGGAACTTACTGCCTATTTTCTTCTAAAACTTTTAAGGTTTCAGGTCTTAAATTTAAGTCTTTTATCCATTTTTAGTGAATGTTTGGGTACCTTCTGAAATACTTAAGTCCAGCTGCCAGTTCACATAGATGTGGTATCAACGAAATTAGAGCTAGATGCTTTTTTAAATAAAAGAAGCATTCAGAGGAAAAAAAATTTTACATAGCAAAATGAAATACTCTGCTATAAAATTCAAAAATTCAGAGTTTGAGAAAATAAAGTTTAGGTTCAACAAACTTTTTGAGCCATTACCATATGCAAATATTTCCACATATATAACCTAATTTAATTAAGACAAGGAAGGGTTCTTTAATCTCAGCTCAACTGAAAATTTGTTTTTCTCCCACTATATTCATAAACTTAAAAAATAAATTTAGAAGAAGTAGTGTTATTTCATCAATTTTCATACCTCTGTAATTTCTTTTTTATTGTTTATTTTAAGTGCCTTTTTAATATTTTTCCTAAGAAAACACTAACACTTAAAAAAAATTAAACAGAACACAGAGCTTTGAATCATACAAAATTACACAAGCATGTATCACTAATGCTCTTAGGGAAAAGCTCTCATATAAGACAGATTATGGTCCTTCCAGGGCTAATTTGCATGTGGGATGGACATCACACACAAAAAAATTAATGTAGCTCCAATGTCCCTGAGTATATAAAGGAGGTGCTGTGAGCTGACTGCTGCATTTACAGTTTTTATCACTTCTGAATTGCATTTTAATAGTATATTTTTCTTCCTTGTCTGGACAAAATTTGCTTTCTCAAGGGAATGGATGGCCGAGAAGACAAGGCTTCTCAAATGACTAGGTACTTTCCTGTCTATTAATTTATGTTACTTCCATTTAGCATAATCTCATTAAAATAAGAATATTAAAATATTCTAAAGTGTATGTATTTTTGTGCATATATTCATATATACATCCAAAAATATCTAGATGTTTTATAATGTTCAAATATTTATCTTCAAATTAGGAAGAAGTTTCTTCTCAAATAGGATTTGCTTTATAAAAGTATAAATAGCTATGACAACCCTAAGAACCATTTAGCTTATAATCAAACTTCTAGGTAGTTATCAGTGTTAAAAATATGTTATCTTTAACCATTTTAAAATATATAGTCAGATGTATTTTATGCTTGAACTGAGTACTTTCTTTCAATTACCTGATCACCATATTGAAGAAGGTATGAGTCAGGCTATTATTTTATCGTCTCATCAAAGATACATATGTGGCAGAAATTCTTAAGTACAACATGGAGATATGGTGGCGTACACAAATAAATCATTACTTGAATGTGTGGGCAGTTAAAGAAGAATTAGTAGAGGTTGCAAGAAGTGAGAATTAAAAATAGTCAATTCACTTCAGTGAAAATTGGTCCATTGTAAATATATTATGAAGCCTTCATACTGTAAGTATTAATACGCTTAATATTATTTTCCAGATAAAAAGACTAAGAAATTATACTTATCTTATTCCTCATAATTCTCTTTCATTTCCCCCCCCTTTTTTTATCATATTATTGTTCTCACTCATAATTCTAGGTTTTCATCCAACCCATTCATTTCACTGTCAGATAACGGAAATCTACAAACACTGAATCCCTGTTGCCTCTTAATTTAAGCTCACATTGTCCAGCCTGGCTGTCAGGCTTCTTAGAATGCACTCGATCTGCTGTCTCCCACCACTCTTTACCTGCCATTCCACTGATGCTATTTTTCTGTCTTTCTTTCTGTCTTTCTACACTGACTCTGCCTTTGTCTATGCCCCTCTTCGTCAAATGCTGACCCACACATTATTCATTCAAAAATCCAGCTTAACACCTAGCTTTCCTAGGCAACCTTATCACCCCACTCCAACTCACACTTATTTTCTGCACTGTCTCCCATGAAATGAAATGATATACACTAAGCACTTTGAAAAACACTGGGACATAACAATGGAAGGTGTAGTGTACTTAAAAGGAATTCACCTTACTGTAGGGGGTAGAGAATAAGACATCACAGTAGAAAGTGTTAAGTTTTGTGATGGATATACATACAAGAGGCAATTAAGGCACAGAGGAGAGTTGATATGTGTTTGTAAAATGTATGTGTATATGCATATGGTGTGGGGATTACTGACAGGGAGATAGGGGGACATGAAAAAGTTATCTTCCCAGAAGATGCATGTAAGAGCTGAAAGACAAGTTGAATTAGTCAAGAAGCTGGGAAAGGCTTTTTTAGACATATACAAAGATATGGTGGTGAGGTGGCATATAAAAAGGAATGCTGACAGAACAAAATGGGGTTCAACAGAACTAGAAAATTGGATTCTTTATGACAGAAAAAAAGTAGATCATGAACAGTAGAGATGCCTGCCCAAGGAGAATATGAATAGTAGTATATTACAGATCTTTATAAATTGCAAAACATTTTTAGTTTTCCATATATATATATCATTTTTGACTATCCAATAGGGTAGTTATCCAAGCCACAATGGACCCTGCATAGGTAAATCGTCTCACAATGTACATGGTGGTAACAATTTCCAGTTATCAGGATGCATGCCTGTGGAACAAGTCTTGAACACCAAATATGTCCTAGATCAGCCCTCTATTAAAGGGTTCCTAGTAAAATATACACATGAAGGGCACACTATATTACAAGTTGGGAATTCAATTCCAGAATGCAATAAATTCTCCAATGAGATATGCAAAACCATGAAAATAAGTCTTTTTGCCTAGGCTGGAGTCAGGAGAAATAGCAAACCAGAGCAAGTTTGTCCCAAAGTTCCTAACGGGTTGTGTAATCCGACACATCTAATGTGGGGACTGCTATTTGACCTGCTCTCAGCCTCAACAACTGCCAGAATCAGAGATGGGATAAAAGACAACACAGATGTACTTCCAGGGAGAATAGCCTTTCTCTTTACCCACGGCCAAAAAAGGAAAAGGAGGGACAGCCATGGATTCTCTCCCTTGGGAGGAAGTCCTGAGACGTCAATAAAAGCTCTCTGGAGAGAGGTAAGCCTCTCTGGAACATGGCCTGCACGAGACCGACCACAACAGCCCTCTTCCCCCTTGAGCTGAATGGGGAGAATGGATGGGGGAAAGGAGAGGGCAGAGGAGGAAAAGAGAGCCCTCTAGAGGCAGCTCCTTGTAACACTGAAATGGATACTCAGCTCTGGGCCAGTTCCAGATAAGAAAATAGTAAGAATATAATAAATGCTAGACGACTTGATTCATAGTTAATTCAGTCCATCAGATATGTCTTAAATAACTGTATTCACTATACTATGCTTAGACACTATGGGCATAAAAAGGCGAATAAGCAGAT